GTATAGCGGACTTCACCAGGTATGGAAACGTTATCAGCTGGCAGGATGGGCTGGGGGGGGGGGGAGGGGGGGATAGATTTTGCCTGGAGTTCGGCTTTTAGAGCGACTTGTCCAAAGGGTGACAAAGCTGCAAATGAAACAGCAAAGTTCCCGGAGGGATCGTCTGCTGCGCGGCTCAGTCTACATTCCGGTATTTCATCTTTTTTGTATCCATTTCTTCATCCATATTTTATCCGTTTTTCATCCTTTTACGTACGTTGGTTTACATCTGTTTTTAGATCAATTTATATACGTTTTTTCATCCATATTTCATCCAATTACATGTTTTTTTATCCACTTTTCATCCTTTTACGTTGGTTTACATCTGTTTATCATCCCTTTAGATCAATTTATAGCCGTTTTTTCATCCGTTTACATCTGTTTTTACATCCATTTTTCATCTATTTACATACATTTTTTTTTCATCCAGTTTTTATCCTTTTACGTTGGTTTACATCTGTTTTTCATCCCTTTTAGATACATTTACATCTGTTTTTAGATCCGTTTACATACGTTTTTTTCATCCATATCTCATCCAATTACATCCATTTTTCATCCTTTTACATTGGTTTACATCTGTTTTTCATCCCTTTAGATCCATTAACATCCTTTCTTCACCCATTTACATCCATTTACATCTTTTTCATCCGTTTACATCCATTTTTTCATCCATTTTTCATCCTTTTACATTGGTTTACATCTGTTTTTCATCCCTTTAGATCCATTTACATCAATTTTTACATCCGTTTACATCTGTTTTTCATCCTTTTACGTTGGTTTACATCTGTTTTTCATCCCTTTACATCCGTTTTTTACATCCATTTACATCTGTTTTTCATCCCTTTAGATCCATTTGCATCCATTTTTACATCTGTTTACATCTGTTTTTTCATCCATATTTCATCCAATTACATGGTTTTTCATCCATTTTTTCATCCGTTTACATCCATTTTTCATCCTTTTACATTTCTTTACATCTGTTTATCATCCCTGTAGATCCATTTACATCCGTTTGCATCTGTTTTTTCATCCGTTTTTTCATCCGTTTTTCATCCTTTTACGTTGGTTTACATCTGTTTTTCATCCCTTTAGATCCATTTACATCCTTTTTTCATCCATTTACATTCTTTTTCATCCATTTTTCATCCATTTACATCTGTTTTTCATCCCTTTAGATCCATTTATATCCGTTTTTACATTAGTTTGCATCCGTTTTTTCATCCGTTTACATCCATTTTGTCATCTATTTTCATCCGATTACATCCACTTTTGGTCCATTTTTTCATCCATTTTTTCATCCATTTTTCTTCCGTTTTTCATCCGTTTACATCCATTTTCATCCATTTACATCCATTTACATCCATTTTTTCATCTATTTTCATCCGATTACATCCACTTTTCGTCCGATTACATCCACTTTTGGTCCATTGACATCCAATTTTTATCCGTTCTGTTTTAGGGTTTTCTTCCATTCAAAAAAACAGATATAAACAGATGTAAAAAGATGATCATCCGTTTACATCCGCTGGTCTACAGAAATACATGGGGGTCCGTTTTTCACCCGTAAACAGACAGATGAGAAACAGACCTACGGAACGCCCGGAGGAAAGGGGCCTTAGGGGGTGAAACGATGGGGGAGGACGCTGTGTGTGTGTGTGGGGGGGGGGAGGGCAGCTGGAATAGGGAAGTGACCCGGGTTGTCCAATGGCGTGTGACTGGAGAAATGCCCGCCCCCTCCCCCCAGACTCCACCCACTGATCACACTCTGCATTGGCTGGGTGGAATGATGGATGAATGTGCTGGAGAAGGAAGCCGGCGTGATTGAGGTTCGATAAATGACAGATCCCGCAGAAGTCGTTCTCTCAGCGTAGGAAATAATTGCTAAAAGGGATCTGATATTTACAAAAAAAAAAGAACGAATTCTTTGTGTTGTGTTTTTGGTGCCATTTTCCCCGATTTATATTCTGATTTTCCGGGTCACCTGATCCTGCCAATAATGTCACTTCATTACGGGGTTTATTGTTCTTTTCCAGCAATTTTTGGTGAATTCTTATAACCGTCATTTTATTGTTCGGGAATTTTGCTTTTCTTTTCGCAACATTTGTGTTTTTTTACAGAAAATACTTTTTTTTTCCTTTTTTTTTTCCTTTTGCAAAAGTTACATTGTAAATAAACGTTCTATTTCATATCAACGTTTTTATTTTCTTACATTTGTTGTCTGATGAAGGATGGGGATGAGTCGGACCCGTCATCCCCATCCTTCCCGTCTGATCGATGTTTAGAAACTGTTACCATGGCTCCCCTTACGGGGTCAGTCTGGTCCCCGGCTCCCCTTAGGGGGTCAGTCTGGTCCCCGGCTCCTCTTAGGGGGTCAGTCTGGTCCCCGGCTCTAGTTAGGGGGTCAGTCTGGTCCCCGGCTCCCCTTAGGGGGTCAGTCTGGTCCCCGGCTCCTCTTAGGGGGTCAGTCTGGTCCCCGGCTCCCGTTAGGGGGTCAGTCTGGTCCCCGGCTCCAGTTAGGGGGTCAGTCTGGTCCCCGGCTCCCGTTAGGGGGTCAGTCTTGTCCCCGGCTCCCCTTAGGGGGTCAGTTTGGTCTCCGGCTCCCGTTAGGGGGTCAGTCTGGTCCCCGGCTCCCCTCAGGGGGTCAGTCTGGTCACCGGCTCCCCTTAGGGAGTCAGTCTTGTCCCCGGCTCCCCTTAGGGGGTCAGTCTGGTCCTCGGCTCCCATTAGGGGGCCATTCTGATCCCCGGCTCCCCTTTGGGGGTCAGTCTGGTGCCCGGCTCCCGTTAGGGGGTCAGTCTGGTCCCTGGCTCCCGTTAGGGGGTCAGTCTGGTCCCTGGCTCCCGTTAGGGGGTCAGTCTTGTCCTCGGCTCCCGTTAGGGGGTCAGTCTGGTCCCCGGCTCCCCTTAGGGGGTCAGTCTGGTCCCCGGCTCCCCTTAGGGGGTCAGTCTGGTCCCCGGCTCCCCTTAGGGGGTCAGTCTGGTCCCCGGCTCCCCTCAGGGGGTCAGTCTGGTCCCCGGCTCCCCTCAGGGGGTCAGTCTGGTCCCCGGCTCCCCTCAGGGGGTCAGTCTTGTCCCCGGCTCCCCTTAGGGGGGTCAGTCTGGTCCTCGGCTCTCGTTAGGGGGCCATTCTGATCCCCGGCTCCCCTTAGGGGGTCAGTCTGGTGCCCGGCTCCCGTTAGGGGGTCAGTCTGGTCCCTGGCTCCCGTTAGGGGGTCAGTCTGGTCCCCGGCTCCCGTTAGGGGGTCAGTCTGGTCCCCGGCTCCCGTGAGGGGGTCAGTCTGGTCCCCAGCTCCCGTTAGGGGGTCAGTCTGGTCCCCGGCTCCCGTTAGGGGGTCAGTCTGGTCCCCGGCTCCAGTTAGGGGGTCAGTCTGGTCCCTGGCTCCCGTTAGGGGGTCAGTCTGGTCCCTGGCTCCCGTTAGGGGGTCAGTCTGGTCCCTGGCTCCCGTTAGGGGGTCAGTCTTGTCCTCGGCTCCCGTCAGGGGGTCAGTCTGGTCCCCGGCTTCCCTCAGGGGGTCAGTCTGGTCCCCGGCTCCCCTCAGGGGGTCAGTCTGGTCCCCGGCTCCCCTTAGGGGGTCAGTCTGGTCCCCGGCTCCCCTCAGGGGGTCAGTCTGGTCCCCGGCTCCCCTCAGGGGGTCAGTCTGGTCCCCGGCTCCCCTTAGGGGGTCAGTCTGGTCCCCGGCTCCCCTTAGGGGGTCAGTCTGGTCCCCGGCTCCCCTCAGGGGGTCAGTCTGGTCCCCGGCTCCCCTCAGGGGGTCAGTCTTGTCCCCGGCTCCCCTTAAGGGGGTCAGTCTGGTCCTCGGCTCCCGTTAGGGGGCCATTCTGATCCCCGGCTCCCCTTAGGGGGTCAGTCTGGTGCCCGGCTCCCGTTAGGGGGTCAGTCTGGTCCCTGGCTCCCGTTAGGGGGTCAGTCTTGTCCTCGGCTCCCGTTAGGGGGTCAGTCTGGTCCCTGGCTCCCCTTAGGGGGACTGTCTGGTCCCCGGCTCCCCTTAGGGGATCAGTCTTGTCCTTGGCTCCCGTTAGGGGTCAGTCTTGTCCCCGGCTCCCGTAGGGGGTCAGTCTGGACCCCGGCTCCCGTTAGGGGGTCAGTCTGGTCCCCGGCTCCCGTTAGGGGGTCAGTCTGGTCCCCGGCTCCCGTTAGGGGGTCAGTCTGGTACCCGGCTCCCGTTAGGGGGTCAGTCTGGTCCCCGGCTCCCGTTAGGGGGTCATTCTGGTCCCCGGCTCCCCTTAGGTGGTCAGTGTGGTCCCCGGCTCCCGTTAGGGGGTCAGTCTGGTCCCCGGCTCTCCTTAGGGGGTCAGTCTGGTCCCCGGCTCCCCTTAGGGGGTCAGTCTTGTCCCCGGCTCCCGTTAGGGGTCAGTCTGGTCCCCGGCTCCCGTTAGGGGGTCAGTCTGGTCCCCGGCTTCCCTCAGGGGGTCAGTCTGGTCCCCGGCTCCCCTTAGGGGGTCAGTCTGGTCCCCGGCTCCCGTTAGGGGGTCAGTCCTGAGAATAAGTTGCACAGAGATCAGTTCAGCGGTTTATAGCCGGAATGTAAACAAACATGACAGATCTGTTGATAATAATCGCTCATTCATGAAGGAACGCTCTGACCACGCACGCCTGACACCGGGGAGCCGAGGGGCTATGAAAGACCCCACTATTCCCGCCACGCTGCACATCTGTTTACTCCGCACACTAATTAGTCAATCAGCAGAATGTATGGAGGAGAATATTGAACGTTCGTTCTTGGGCGGGGGAGGGGAGGAGAGATGACATTCTGACGGTTTCCTGACCTCAGGATCTGAAGAGGAGAATTGTTTATGTTGGAGGAGATCGATGAATTCCAGTAAACCGAATATTTTCTTTTCTTAAGCCGAGAGAAATACACATAAAATCAGTAATAATCGATAACGAGCCGGCGGGATGTTCCAGAGATCCGAATCATTGAGAAGACGACTGTCATGGAAATTGGGAGGGGCATTGTATATGTAAAGCTGAACACAGGCGTGCACAGGTGTACTGGCTCCTCCCCTTCAGTCTTGTACAGGTGTACCGGCTCCTCCCCTTCAGTTTTGCACAGGTGTACCGGCTCCTCCCCTTCAGTCTTGCACAGGTGTACCGGCTCCTCCCCTTCAGTTTTGCACAGATGTACCGGCTCCTCCCCTTCAGTCTTGCACAGGCTCCTCCCCTGGACTTAAATGGCTTCCTCTGATGGGAGATGGAGAGATACAAAGTAACATTGTTTATAAACATCGATCAGACGGGGGATAGAGAGATACAAAGTAACATTGTTTATAAACATCGATCAGACGGGAGATAGAGAGATACAAAGTAACATTGTTTATAAACATCGATCAGACGGGAGATAGAGATACAAAGTAACATTGTTTATAAACATCGATCAGACGGGAGATAGAGATACAAAGTAACATTGTTTATAAACATCGATCAGACGGGAGATAGAGAGATACAAAGTAACATTGTTTATAAACATCGATCAGACGGGGGATAGAGAGATACAAAGTAACATTGTTTATAAACATCGATCAGACGGGAGATGGAGAGATACAAAGTAACATTGTTTATAAACATCGATCAGACGGGAGATGGAGAGATACAAAGTAACATTGTTTATAAACATCGATCAGACGGGAGATGGAGAGATACAAAGTAACATTGTTTATAAACATCGTTCTGACGGGAGATAGAGAGATACAAAGTAACATTGTTTATAAACATCGATCAGACGGGAGATAGAGATACAAAGTAACATTGTTTATAAACATAGAAAATATTATAGAAGTATTGGTATAAATGTTACTTTGTATCTCCATCTCCCGTCTGATCGATGTTTATAAACAATGTTACTTTGTATCTCTCCATCCCCCGTCTGATCGATGTTTATAAACAATGTTACTTTGTATCTCTCCATCTCCCGTCTGATCGATGTTTATAAACAATGTTACTTTGTATCTCTCTATCTCCCGTCTGATCGATGTTTATAAACAATGTTACTTTGTATCTCTCCATCCCCCGTCTGATCGATGTTTATAAACAATGTTACTTTGTATCTCCATCTCCCGTCTGATCGATGTTTATAAACAATGTTACTTTGTATCTCTATCTCCCGTCTGATCGATGTTTATAAACAATGTTACTTTGTATCTCCATCTCCCGTCTGATCGATGTTTATAAACAATGTTACTTTGTATCTCTCCATCCCCCCTCTGATCGATGTTTATAAACAATGTTACTTTGTATCTCTATCTCCCGTCTGATCGATGTTTATAAACAATGTTACTTTGTATCTCCATCTCCCGTCTGATCGATGTTTATAAACAATGTTACTTTGTATCTCTCCATCTCCCGTCTGATCGATGTTTATAAACAATGTTACTTTGTATCTCTCCATCTCCGTCTGATCGATGTTTATAAACAATGTTACTTTGTATCTTGTTGGTTTCATTCACCTGCAGATCAGAGTTGGTTGTGATTTCTGGGTCCATATCACGGACTGGTTGCACATTCAGAGTGAATTGGCTGCTTTTGCGATTCACATTCGCACCGGACATAACGCATGTTAACCTCTTGGCGCCGGTTGCATGCAAATGATCGACCTCCCGCTGTCTGGGCCTAGACGCCGAGCAGACGCACATTTGCGCTCTATTAAAAAAAGAACATATATGCCGAGAGCGCGCGCCCTGCACGCTCCCAGCACACATGTCCCGGTACGCCTGCAAAGGTCCCGATCTTCTCTTTCGATTGGGACCTTTCCCGATCATGTGACCACCGTGCCAGCGAATCACAGCAGTCACATGACCCTAAAACCCCGCCCCTCCTCCCGACTTCTGAAACCCTTAAAGGGCCGGGTGGCGCCGGCGCCAAGTGGTTAATGTAAGTGCTTCAGAGAGCCACAAAGGCCTGAATGGGCCCCAACAGTGTGCAGGGCGGCCATCGCTGACCTCATTCTAACAGTGCGTTGTTGTCATGTTGATCCTCTGGCTTCCGGACCTTCAGAAGATCAGCAGAGACGCGTCGTACAATCATCCGCAGATTTCTATTATTATAGTTGCAATTTACATCAAAACACTTCGGTCGGCGTCAATGCGGCGTCACGCCAAGCCTCAGATTGCACGCCATTTGCTTTCTGACGGATGAAAGCGCGTCCCTCCCTGCCGCCATTGCTGATTTATAAACATTTTCGCCTTCCTGGGATTTCGCATTCTGCATAATCTGTGAACGGAGTCGCCGAGCGCAGCAGAGGTCGTTCACCGGACGATAATTTTACAGCGAGCTCGCCTCTAAGTGCTCATTGTGTGTTTGAAAATGACATTCGCCGTTCACAAAGGATTTGATTGAGCGAGTAATGTGCGCTGACCGGAGGGGGCGAAGTATAGGAAGTGCCTGCGGGACCCCCGCCGGGTAATTGCCGTATATTGAGCAGTAATAGAATGCTGTTGTCACCGCAGATCGCTGGAATATGAGACCGAACAATGAATTCTAATACGTTTCAATGGATACACAGCGGGGTGAACGGAGCCGGCCGGAACTACAGAGGGAGGAAAACTGAGGTCCCCATTCCTCTATATAGATCCTATCACTAGAGGGGTCACCGGCAGGAGGAAGGAGGTCCTGATTCCTCTATATAGATCTATCACTAGAGGGGTCACCGGCAGGAGGAAGGAGGTCCTGATTCCTCTATATAGATCCTATCACTAGAGGGGTCACCGGCAGGAGGAAGGAGGTCCTGATTCCTCTATATAGATCTATCACTAGAGGGGTCACCGGCAGGAGGAAGGAGGTCCTGATTCCTCTATATAGATCCTATCACTAGAGGGGTCACCGGCAGGAGGAAGGAGGTCCCGATTCCTCTATACAGATCCTAATACTAGAGGGGTCACCGGCAGGAGGAAGGAGGTCCTGATTCCTCTATATAGATCTATCACTAGAGGGGTCACCGGCAGCAGGAAGGAGGTCCTGATTCCTCTATATAGATCTATCACTAGAGGGGTCACCGGCAGGAGGAAGGAGGTCCTGATTCCTCTATATAGATCTATCACTAGAGGGGTCACCGGCAGGAGGAAGGAGGTCCTGATTCCTCTATAGATCCTATCACTAGAGGGGTCACCGGCAGGAGGAAGGAGGTCCTGATTCCTCTATATAGATCTTTATATCTCTAGAGGGGTCACCGGCAGGAGGAAGGAGGTCCCGATTCCTCTATATAGATCCTATCACTAGAGGGGTCACCGGCAGGAGGAAGGAGGTCCTGATTCCTCTATATAGATCCTATCGCTAGAGGGGTCACCGGCAGGAGGAAGGAGGTCCTGATTCCTCTATATAGATCCTATCACTAGAGGGGTCACCGGCAGGAGGAAGGAGGTCCTGATTCCTCTATATAGATCCTATCACTAGAGGGGTCACCGGCAGGAGGAAGGAGGTCCTGATTCCTCTGTATAGATCCTATCACTAGAGGGGTCACCGGCAGGAGGAAGGAGGTCCTGATTCCTCTATATAGATCTTTATATCACTAGAGGGGTCACCGACAGGAGGAAGGAGGTCCTGATTCCTCTATATAGATCCTATCACTAGAGGGGGTCACCGGCAGGAGGAAAGAGGTCCCGATTCCTCTATATAGATCCTATCACTAGAGGGGTCACCGGCAGGAGGAAGGAGGTCCTGATTCTTCTATATAGATCCTAATACTAGAGGGGTCACCGGCAGGAGGAAGGAGGTCCTGATTCCTCTATATAGATCACACTAGAGGGGTCACCGGCAGGAGGAAGGAGGTCCTGATTCCTCTATATAGATTCTATCACTAGAGGGGTCACCGGCAGGAGGAAGGAGGTCCTGATTCCTCTATACAGATCCTATCACTAGAGGGGCCACCGGCAGGAGGAAGGAGGTCCCGATTCCTCTATATAGATCCTATCACTAGAGGGGTCACCGGCAGGAGGAAGGAGGTCCTGATTCCTCTATATAGATCTTTATATCACTAGAGGGGTCACCGGCAGGAGGAAGGAGGTCCTGATTCCCCTATATAGATCCTATCACTAGAGGGGTCACCGGCAGGAGGAAGGATGTCCCGATTCCTCTATATAGATCTATCACTAGAGGGGTCCCCGGCAGGAGGAAGGAGGTCCTGATTCCTCTATATAGATCCTATCACTAGAGGGGTCACCGGCAGGAGGAAGGAGGTCCTGATTCCTCTATATAGATCCTGTCACTAGAGGGGTCACCGGCTGGAGGAAGGAGGTCCCGATTCCTCTATATAGATCTATCACTAGAGGGGTCACTGGCAGGAGGAAGGAGGTCCTGATTCCTCTATATAGATCCTATCACTAGAGGGGTCACCGGCAGGAGGAAGGAGGTCCTGATTCCTCTATATAGATCCTATCACTAGAGGGGTCACCGGCAGGAGGAAGGAGGTCCTGATTCCTCTATATAGATCCTATCACTAGAGGGGTCACCAGCAGGAGGAAAGAGGTCCCGATTCATCTATATAGATCACTAGAGCGGTCACCGGCAGGAGGAAGGAGGTCCTGATTCCTCTATATAGATCCTATCACTAGAGGGGTCACCGGCAGGAGGAAGGAGGTCCTGATTCTTCTATATAGATCCTAATACTAGAGGGGTCACCGGCAGGAGGAAGGAGGTCCTGATTCCTCTATATAGATCACTAGAGGGGTCACTGGCAGGAGGAAGGAGGTCCTGATTCCTCTATATAGATCCTATCACTAGAGGGGTCACCGGCAGGAGGAAGGAGGTCCTGATTCCTCTATATAGATCCTATCACTAGAGGGGTCACCGGCAGGAGGAAGGAGGTCCTGATTCCTCTATATAGATCACTAGAGGGGTCACCGGCAGGAGGAAGAGGGTCCTGATTCCTCTATACAGATCCTATCACTAGAGGGGCCACCGGCAGGAGGAAGGAGGTCCCGATTCCTCTATATAGATCCTATCACTAGAGGGGTCACCGGCAGGAGGAAGGAGGTCCTGATTCCCCTATATAGATCCTATCACTAGAGGGGTCCCTGGGGGGAGGAAGGAGGTCCTGATTCCTCTATATAGATCCTATCACTAGAGGGGTCACCGGCAGGAGGAAGGAGGTCCTGATTCCTCTATATAGATCCTATCACTAGAGGGGTCACCGGCAGGAGGAAGGAGGTCCTGATTCCTCTATATAGATCCTA